TACCAGTATACCCCCAACCACATCCCAAACCACACCCTCTCTCTCATATGCTACAGTGCACCGGGCCCCACATGAGATTTTAAAATTTTAGCATATGAGAGAGGATGTGTGGTTTGGGATGTGGTTGGGGGTGTGCCCCTAGTGCCACCCATGCCTTTAAACTGAAGTTGCCAAAAACTACGCTATATCCTTCTGATATCAGACGACAATGAACACATAATTCATTGTAAACGAACAATTACATAGATTAGTTCACTGTATACAGATTACGGACGCTTAGTTACGATAGATGTTATAGTTTTATATTCTAATATGTCCAACTACTTCAATCACGTACAGAGACATGGAAGTTTCTTGGTTCAAATATGACTAAACCGTACTTAAATGCCCTACAACTCCACCAATGTTGCACTTAAGTGATCTATATTTTAAAACCGAGTAAATCAATGCCCTAAACTATTTAAATATTATTCTAAATGTCATAAAGTTTTAAAATATTGTGCTTTGCTGCCCTCTTGTTTACCCAATGATGTATATAAACACCCTGACTTTGTAAATGGCCTCATTTAAATACCGTAAATTTTCTAAAAGTTACATTTTACTACATTCTTTTATGTGTTGTTCCTGGAGAAATTGGGTTTTTTAAGCTTTTGAGTATTTATTGTAATATTTAAATACTTTAAGACATTTTATTATTTGCTTGGCTTTAAAATAGAGGTCACTTAAATGCAACGTTGGTGAAACTATGAGGCACTTAAGTGCAAATTAGCCTTGAAATATAGAGGCTAGTTATCTCATACTGGTTGATTTGGGCTCTTCATGTCAAGCAAGCTTTGTTCGATGATAATTTGGCTCTTCCTCTAAATACCAGTGTTTTAACTGAATGGATTCATGATTGATTATTTGTAATTAAGCTATGTGTAATCTGCAAGAATTTGTAGTAATGAACAATGAAAATAATTGTTATGTAAAATTATAACTATCTACTCTCTCTCTCTAGTGTAGTTAAGGGAATCTTTAATATGGTAACAAAGCAACTTAAATTTGAGTTGTATACTAGTTACGGAGTTATAAAGCAAATTTAAATCATCACCGCGACGGTGAGTTTTGGTGCAGTTGTTAGATCTTATAAAAACTTGATATCTAAACCATAAAGCCATGATTAATTCAAAGAGATTTACAAGAATCAAAAGAAAAGAGCGGAAGCTTATACAAGAATCCCTAGCCCGAGTTTTGGATCTTCTAACCTTAGGGTTTATCTAGCCAAATTTCTCTCTAGATGGGAGTGAAGAGAATTAGAGAATGTAACCCTAGATTAGGGACCATAATCCCTTATTTATAGATGTTGTACATTTGCAATTTGGCTCCTCATCAAATCACAATTACAATTTGGTATCTGCACATATAATCCCATAATTATATTTGAATCAAAAGAAAAGAGCGGAAGCTTATACAAGAATCCCTAGCCCGAGTTTTGGATCTTCTAACCTTAGGGTTTATCTAGCCAAATTTCTCTCTAGATGGGAGTGAAGAGAATTAGAGAATGTAACCCTAGATTAGGGACCATAATCCCTTATTTATAGATGTTGTACATTTGCAATTTGGCTCCTCATCAAATCACAATTACAATTTGGTATCTGCACATATAATCCCATAATTATATTTAAATACACATTAACCCAAATTGATCGATCACTTTAGTGGGTTATCCTGAAGGATAGCAATACACACAGATTAATCATATGTGCCCACAAAATAGATTTAATTAGATTTAAATCCAACACTTAGTTCATATCTATTATTTATACGGTTTGATAAAATAATGTTTTCTGTAACTTGTTAGTTATTTAAACATGTTAGTTATTTAATTGATAGTGTATAATATTTAAATATTCTTGATATTTAAAGAAATTCAGTAATAATAAGGATAGATATGCACGTATTAAAAGATAGATACAATATCACGTATTAAGGATAGATATATTAGTTTAAACTTTTAGATAGTGTATAATATTTTAAACTTAAAAAAGTATAATATCCTAATTATATAATATCACGTATTAAGGATAGATTGTGAATGCACGTATTAAAGGATAGATACAATATTACATATTAAGGATAGATATATTAGTTTAAACTTTTAGATAGTGTATAATATTTCAAACTTAAAAAGTACAATATCCTAATTATGTAATATCACGTGATAAGGATAGATATATTAGTTTAAACTTTTAGATAATGTATTATATTTAAATATTCTTGATACTTAAAGAAGGGTTAATGACATTTTTTCCTAACCAAAGATTTTTCAGAACTCGTGCTTTTAAAAGGGTATGATATGTATATGTATACATATGTATAAGTACATATACATAAGTATATGTAGAATAGAAGCTTAAAACGATCAAATATCTCACAATCATATCCAAACCGAACTGTAACCGCCTGATCGACCTCTGCCGCCGACCCATAGAATTCGCCCAACTCCATTCCTCCCTCATCAAGTTCGGCCTCATCCATAACTCCCTCTTCTACACTCGCCTCACCGCCGCCTGCGCCCTCTCCTCCTCCCAATCTCCGGCCAACCTCAGACTCGCCCGCCGCCTGTTCGACGCAGACCCCTACCCCAACTCCTTCTCCTTCAACGTCCTCATCCGAGCCCTCTCCCAGAGCCCCCAACCCATCGAAGCTCTCTACCTCTTCTCCCTCATGCTCACCAATGGCGGCCCAAATGCCAAACCCAACCCCATGACTTTCCCTTTCGTGCTTAAAGCTTGCTCAGCCGCTGGAGCTGTCGAAGAAGGGAAGCAGGTTCACGGGTTGGCGTCTAAATTTGAGATGGGTTGTGATACTTTTGTGCAGAACGGTTTAATTAATTTGTATACGAAGAGCGGGCTTTTGCGGGATGCGGTTAAGGTGTTTCATAGAATGCCTCAACGAGACATTGTGTCCTGGAACACAGTGATTGGCGGGTTTGTTGGCTTGGGTATGATGGATGAAGCTAGGGAGTTGTTTGATGTTATGCCGGAGAGAAACATGGCTTCTTGGAACTGTTTGATTGATGGGTACGTTAAGCATGGGTCGATGGATATTGCGCAGGGTTTGTTTGAGAGGATGCCCGTAAAGGATCGGATTACGTGGAACACAATGATTGGTGGGTACGCGAGTTACGGTCACTTGGAAGAGGCCTGTAAATTGTTTAGGAAAATGCCGATGGAATTGAAGGATTTGGTCACTGTGAAAGTGATGATTGATGGGTGCTCAAGAGGTTCGAGATTTGAGCAAGTGTTGAAACTTTTCAATGAGATGCTTGGGTTGGAGATCAGGCCGGATAATTTTACGCTTGTGGGCACGCTTACTGCTTGTTCACAACTAATGGCATTGGAGCAAGGGGAATGGGTTCATTCTTATATTGATAGGTATAATATTAGACTGGATGCAGTGTTGGGGACTGCACTGTTAGAACTGTATGCGAAGTGTGGGAATATTGAGAAAGCCCTTGATGTGTTTAGTCACATGGACGAGAAAGATATTAGCGCGTGGAATTCTATAATCTCAAATCTTGGCATTAACGGTAAAGGGGAACAGGCATTAGAATTCTTCTCCAAATTGTTGGAAACCTCCATAGAGCCAGATGAGGTCACCTTCTTAAGTGTTCTAAGTGCTTGTCGGCACTCTGATGAGCAACGTGTATGGTATAGCACCTAAAGCTGAGCACTTTGGATGTATGATTGATTTACTTTGTCGAGCTGGGCTTCTCGATGAAGCCAGAGAGCTTACTGAGGCTAACACTGGAATAGAATTTAGTGTTGCACTGTGGGGATCTCTGCTTGAGGCTGCCAGTAGGGTGGGTAATGTTGAGATGGGAGAATATGCTGCAAAACATCTCCTCGAGCTCAATCCAGATGATGCTCGATGTTACATAGCGCTGTCTAGGATGTATTCACAAGGAGAGAAATGGGAGGATTCTCTTGAGGTTCGGAAGAGATTGAGAGGCAGCGGATTAGAGAAGGTCCCTGGTTGTAGTTTGGTTGAAGTGAATGGTGTGGTTCATGAGTTCACCGTGGGAAGTGGTTTTAATCCTATTGATCAAATAGGGTAAAGTATTGCATTACTTGCCATTGCAGGAAAAATTCTGCATCAGTTTCTAGAAAAGGAAATGCTTATAGTTTCAGTGCCAATGAGGTATTGTTATAGCTTGTTCGAAGATCTTTGTGCGGTTGTGATATTAAATAGTTTTATACGGTAACTTATGGTTACTTGTAGGCTCATCTGAATGCAAGAGAAGGGAGAGGAATTAAAAGTCCAGGTCTGTCAAATATTTCTATACTGCTTATATTTATTTTAAAAGCATGTTTGTGAAGCATTAGCCTACAAATTTATTTCACAGTAGAAACATGAACCACGTGTACATGATAAATCACTTCAAACGACCAAGTTAATCAAGTCTTTTGCGCGTAGCATGTTTGGTTGAATGCCGTCATCGATTCTGTCATTATATGTACTTACATTAGCTTTTATTGCAAGCTGTCATTTTATGCGTTTGCATTTGCTTATAACCAGAACATATTTTTACTGCTAGGTAAAAGATTTGTTATAGATGGTGGAGAAATTTGAGGGGAAAAAAATATAATCCAAAGACGGGGATAGAAAGAGAGAAATAGAAACAAGGAACGATGCTCTTCAGAGCTCTTGAATTTTGAAATTGGCTGTGAAGAAAGCCTATGATTAGCATGTGGACTAATACTATTTGTTTATATAAGTGGGCCTTATAATAAAATATTTTTTATAGGAGTTTTTACTTTAGGGCCTAATGGTTTACCCTATTTTATCTTTAGGCCTAACTACTTTGTTTTGTACTTTTATGTTGGATGTGTTGTGCACAGTAGAGGGAGAAAAGGCAGTTTGCCTTCGAACAATAGTCTCACATCGCCTAATTTAGTGTATGAGTGGTTGTTTAAATTGGTTTTCTTCTTTTTACCCCTTGAGGGTCACCAAGAGAGGGGTGTTTTGGGCATTCAATTTGTTTGGGCTTTGGATAACACGCGCGCGCGCATGCCTCGCCGTTTTTCGAATTTTGGAGAACGTGCGCTAAGTTTTGCGGGAAGTTCAAACGGCTGCGCGAATTTAGCAAACCTGGCTTGGATTCATCGGGGAGTTTTAACAGCTTAGGGTTTCTAAAACCCTATAAATACTGCCTCTAACTCAGTTTGAAAAAGACAGTTACGGAAAAGAAAAGTTTCTCTCTTCTGTCTTCTTAAAAAACGATAACCCTTCTCCCTCTCTAATATCTCTGTTATTTATTTTCTTTTGGGCAATCATCTTCATCTGAGAAAAAGCTCTATACTCTCGCCCGAATACAAAGGCCAGCTAGTTCCGGGGGCTTTTACCGCTAGGGATAGAGGATCGACTGCGCCAGGGCGATAGGCGGGTCATCGATCTTCTAGAGCAGTGTTTTGCGCGACTGCTACCTGTATCAGGCTAGTTTTTTTGTTCAATTTATTTTTCGGATTTATATGCATGCTAATAAGATAAAATTAACAACAATCTAGAAGATTGATCTATTATAGCTGTTAATTATTAAATCCGAAATTATTGTGCTTACTGTTAATAATTATAATCTGTTCATCCAAAATAATTTTAATTTGTAATTAATTACTGTTAATTGCTTTTAACTTGTAATTAATTTAATTGTTCATTTGTTACTGTTTTAAATTTGAGGAAAATAAATACTATTCCGAAAGAAAAGTTAATTAATATTTACTGTTACTAAAAAATTCTTAGAATTATTGCTTAAATTATAGGAAAAATTGCTTCTAGGCCCCAAATTTATATTTTCAATGTGCCCCAGCCCCTCCTATTTTTTTAATGTTCTTTAGCCCCTCCTTTTTGAAAAAAATATGTCCAAACCCCTCCATCACTCCTCCATCATGATTCCAGCTCATTTCAGCAGTTGATTAGACATGCCAACTCATGATTAGACATATCAGCTGACTTAAATCCCGAATTTACCATCCTCTTTCTCATATTAGTGGATGTTAACTCTTTTCTGTAACATGTTTAACTCTTTTCTGTAAAATGTTAACTTTTTTATGTAACATGTTAACTCTTACAGATAACATGTTAACTCTTACAACTAACATGTTAACTCTTACAGCTAACATGTTAGCTGTAAGAGTTAACATGTTACAGAAAAGAGTTAATATTTTACAGAAAAGAGTTAACATGTTACAGAAAAGAGTTAACATTAATGTGCCCACACGAAGTTCCTCGGGACGGCGCCGGCGGCGGAACAGGGAAGGGGGCAAAGGGGGACCGAAGGAGGAGGAGGGAGGTGCAGCGGGGGAGAGAGACGGGGGGAGGGAGGCGGGGGAGGTGCAGCGGGGTAGGGAGGCGGTGAGGAGGAGGAGGGAGCTGTAGGGGGAGGGAGGCTTGGGGGGGTTGGGGCACATTGAAAATATGAATTTGGGGCCTTGAAGCAATTTTTCCTAAATTATAATTGCTAATTACTGTTTCAAAATTAAATTGTTCCATTCAAATTTCAACTGCTTAGACTGCTAGTAATTTTACTGGTTAATATTACTAGTTTATAAATAAACTGTATTTACAAACACCCTGCAAATAATTGACCATAATAAAATCTTGAATCAAATACATACCTAAAATCATACTCCTAAGTAACTAGTTGATCGGTTTTGACAAAACTTTTCATTCCTATCAGATTTCAAAATACCTAGACTAGTTAACTTGAGTCGGGCTTATGACAAATCTTGATTATTCCAAGAGTGTCAAACATGAGAAGTTCATCGGTGTTAACTACAAACGGTGGGTTAATCAGATGAGATATTGGCTCACTACCCTAGTACTCTTATCTGTTATTAACACTCCTGATTCTTCATCCATTGGATCTCAACCCATAACCTCCAACTCTTCTGTTTATGGTCCTGAACCTAAACAACTTACTCCTTCCACTTCTGCTTCTGGTGCTAGTTCCTTCTCTAGTCCAATGAAGCTAGGAGAAATAAACTATCACTGCTGCCATAGGATCCTTAGTGCACTTGCGGACAATCTTTATGGCATATATTATGAGTTCAAAAGTGCTAAAGACCTATGAAATGCTATTGATGTAGAATATGGCTTTGATGATGCCGAAATTCTGTGTTTCACATCCTCTTCCTTCAATAAGTTCATGATGGTTGATAACAAGCCTATAAATGAACAAATTCACGAATTCCAAGATTTCATTCGTCACCTCCAATCAAAAGGAAACACCTTTACTAATGATTATAATGTTTTCTGTTTGATTGACAAACTCCCTCCTTCCTGGTCTAGATTTGCTGGAGATCTCCGACACAAGCAAGGAGATCTAACATTAACCGAAGCTCTCAAGGCTATTCGCATTGAAGATCAACATAGACAAAATTCCAAAACCAAGACTGAAATAAAAGCTAAAGTGAACTTAGAGGATAATCCTAAATCTAGAAATTTCAAACCCAAATGAAGGAAATTCAAGAAAAACCAGCAATCCTTCAACAAATATTCCTCCAAATCAAATCTTAACTCTTCCAGCCATAAGTTTGATGGAAAGTTCTACTATGTTTGTAGTAGAACTAACCACCTGGCTCCAAATTACTTCTATCGGAAGAAGGAACTGGCCTAACCTGCTCCAAAAGGAAATGAATCTAACAAAGTAAACATGATTGAAGAAAATCCAAATTCCTTCAGGGTGACCTCTTCTTCCTATCTTGTAAATTCTCTTACTTCTTTCACTGATTGGTACTTGGATTCCGGAGCTAATATTCATGTTTGCAATGATTGCTCTTGGTTTTCAACTTACCAGGAATCGCATAGAGGAAGCATAAGCTTAGAAGATAACTCTACTAAATAAATAATGGGAAGTGGATGCATAGAGCTCACCATGACTTCTGAAAAAGCTCTAAATCTGCAAGGCGTTCATCATGTTCCTTCTCTCCGCTGAAACTTGATCAGTGAATCTCTTCTTCTTAGAGCTGACTTTAGGATTATAAAGGAATCCAATAAATTTATGATTACAAATAATAATGTATTCATAGGAAAATGTTTTATTTGTAATGGCCTTTTCTTCAAGCTCAATGTAATCAATTCCAGTTCTAATGAAATTCATGAATCTTCTGTTGCACAAATTATTGAATCTTGTAATGTTTGGTATGGACAACTTGGACACGTAAATTTTCAAACTTTATAGAAAATGATTAAATTGAATCTCATTCCTAACTCATCTCATGATCGCTCATCTATGTGTGAGATTTGTGTTCAAGGGAAACACACTAAGAAACTCTTCAAGTCTATAACTAGAAACACCAAACCCCTCGAATTAGTTCATAGTTTGTGTGTGACTTGAACCGAGTTCTCACCCGAGGGGGTAGGAGATATTTTGTGACATTTATAGACGATCGCTCCAGATATTGTAACACCTATCTTCTCAAAACTAATGATGAAGTTTTAGATAAGTTTAAGGTGTATAAAGATGAATCTGAGAACCAACTTGAAAAGAAGATTAAGATTTTAAGATCTGATGGGGGGGGGGGGGGGGGGGGGGGGGAGTATACCTCAAATGAAATGACTGAGTATTGCCAAGAGCACGATATTATTCATGAGATAACTGGTCCCTATACATTGCAGTCTAACTGGGTAGCTGAACGAAAGAACAGAACGCTTATGGACATAGT